CAGCACAGCACGGCACAGCACAGCACAGCACAGCACAGCACAGCACAGAGCAGCACAGCACAGCACAGCACGGTACATCCAGGGCGTGCAGCCCCTCATCATGTCACCCTGCGCCCGGGCCCGGCCCGGCCCGGCAGAGCAGGGCAGGAGCAGGCAGGAGCCCCAGGCTGCTCTCACCTTGCTGGCAGCAGCGGCGCGGGGGCCGAGCAGGGCCAGGCCGAGCAGGAGGCAGCAGCCCAGGCTCCCATGGCGGCGGCGGTGGCGCCGTGCGCGGTGCCCGGACACGGGGGGGCTCACGGCAGTGGACACACGCCGGGCCTCGGCGATGGTGAGAGGAGAGGCCATGGGATGCCGGGGGGCGGATGGGGGAACGCGGGCACTGAGCCGTGACACGACAGGAGCCGGGCGGGTGTTTGCAGCAAAGCTTTATTGGGAGAAGCAGGTGGGGGGGGGGGGGCAGCCGCGGAGCTGCCACCAGCCCAGGAACCCCCATGCTGTCACCGTCACTCCTTATGCGAGTGCAGGGGGGTGAAGATGTTGATGCCAACTCTGCAGGGACACAGAGGGAGGAGATGTAAGGGTGGGAAATGCAGCCTTGGACGGGATAAACACATGCTCCCATGCTCCCAGGGCCAAATGCCAATTTAGCTCCATCCCCCGCCCCAGGCATTTACACCTTGGCAGGACCCCCGGGGAGCCCGTGCACGGGCACCCCATCCTCGGTCACCCCCACCCTGGCAGCAGCTCTGCGGGGTGCTGAGCACCACGGGGTGGGAGAGCCCCAACCCCTCTGGGGATGCACAGGGGACCTGTGCAGGGCAGGGACAGGGGACTCGCCTCTTGGCTTTCCAGTTATTTCTGATTATCCCAACCCGTGTACAGGACCTTGCACTTGGCCTTGTTGAACTTCATGATGTTTGATGGTGCCCACCTCTCAAGGCTGGATGACATCTCCTCTCCATCATGTCTTTGCTGTTATTAGCATTATTAGCAGGTTTTAGTTCTGTTTCAGTCCTTGATTACTTATCTAGTTCTGATGAGTTTTCTTAAGTACATTCCAAGATAAAATGGTCCAAACTGCTCTTGCTGATTTACTTTGTAAGGATCTTTCAACAATTCTTCCCATTGAGCCTTCCAAGATTTTTCTTGGTAGTTTCATTGTATATTTACCCATAATAGTAATGCTTATCTTGCCCAGGAACGCTACTCATCTTTGCTAAACACTGGGGAATAAGCAGAATGCATTGAATCATAATACAACATAATATGCACATCTCTGCTATTCCCGGTATGACTGTGAAAAGTTCCTTAAACCATTGTAGAATTGTAACCAAGAAGTAAGCCATTTCCACCAGGATTTTCTTTTGTGTTTTCCTAATCCTGTACTGCATTTCAATAGATTATATTCCCGATTGTTGGATTTTAAAACCATCTTCTGTGGACATGCAGCTTCCATTATTGGTCCATTTGGCACAGCTCTCTGACCAACACGAAGGAATGACCCTCCAGGGAAACCTTGTTCCCCCTGTCATTACCTGTGAACAAATCCAACAATCAGTCAAATTCACCGTCTTTGCAAAGCTGATTTTTATATTCTCATTTGTATTGTCATGACCAACTCCATCAGTTATGGTATCTTTCCCCACTGCACCCCATTCTGAAATACATAACACGAAAAATGTCATCATCTTTTTGTCAGTATTATTCATAGATACTCTGCTAATTTTATTCCCCACTAAGGTTCCTCCAGCATTGGGACCGATTTTACTCATGTGAAATATATCTACGACTTGATCCCTTTCACTTTGACTGCTGTATGGGTGATCAGGAGGACTTGGAATGGTCCTTCCACTTTTCTTTAAGAGGTTCATTGCCCCAGATCCAGATATATGCCAAGTCTCCTGGATGATAAGGATGCACTGGAATGCTTAGGGTCACTGGGGAAGCTAAAAAACCAAATCTATAAAAAGATGAGAGTACCTTCCCCAAAGATGTTACATATTCCCCTAGACTCTAGTTTCCCATTATGACTGTCCCCTGGAAAAACAGGTTTTTGGTAGGGCGTTATGTATAGGATTTCATAGGAGCTCACCTTTTCTTTGGAGTTTGGTTGAATTCTTAATAAGGCTAAAGAGTCATTGGCCATTTAAGTGATGTTTCTTGGCAGATTTTACTACCTTGTCTCTTTAGTCTCTGATTCATTCTTTCCACCTTCCCACTAGACTGTGGTCTCCATGGGGTATGTAGGTCCCACTTGATTCCCATTATTTTGGATAAGTTCTGCACAACCTCTGCTGTAAAATGAGGTCCTCTATCTGATGACATTCACAATGGAACTCCAAATCTGGGTAGTATTTCTCTTAATAGGGTTTTTGCTACCTCCCTATTTTTGTTGGTGTAACAGGGAAAAGCTTCAGGCCATCCTGAAAAGGTATGGACCAAAACTAACAGGTACCGATATCCTTCTTGCCAAGGTAGTGCTGAAAAATCTATTTGCTAGTAATCTCCAGGACAATTGTCTCTTTTTGTGGTCCCTAAAGGGGTTCTTCTATATGTGTGGGGGTTATTTTGTAAACAGATGTTGCATTGAATTACCATGATTTTAACAATTCCTGTCAGCCTCACAGTGAGCACTTGGCTTCTTAAACTATCTGTAATAGTTTGTGTCCCTCAATGTGTTGCATTATGTTTGTCCTCACAGAATCAGATTGTGGCAGTACAGTCCAAGTGAGTTGTGTCTTCTGGCCTGTACTCGGTCTTCCCGATTTGAATGCAAAAAGTGTCAGACTGTCCAGCTCCAGAGGTATGTGGAAGAAAGCATCCTTTAAATCAAATGCTGTGAATCATTTATAATTTTCTTTCATTGCTGTTAATAGCGTGTAAGGATTAGCTACTACTGGGTGTGTACCTAGTGTATCCTGCACTATCTGATTAATGGCCCTAAAATCATGTACCAATCTGTACTCCTCTGAATGGGATTTCTTTACTGGCAAATGGGAGTATTGTAAATGGACTGACACATTGCATAGTAGCAATTTATATTGCATAAACACATTAATTCAATTCTCCTATCCCCTTCTTACATTTAATTTTAAAGGTTATTACTTCTGCCTTACTGGTTGGGCATTACGTTTCAGTTGTATTCTTACTGGTTCTGCTGCTATTAATCTCCCTGGAATATTGGTGGCCCAGACAAACTGTGTGACTATATTTTCAACCTCCACTGGAATCTCTTCCTCCAACTCCATCTGCTGTAACATAAGAACTTGGGCCTCCAGAGCATTACTCTCTGGAATATGTACCCGTATTTGTCCATTCTCAAAAGTTATTCAAGCATCTGATTTACTTAGTACGTTTCTGCCTAGTAGAGGCATCAGGCACTCTGGCGTGTAAAGAAATTGATATGTTAAACACTTTTTACCTATTTTGAATTCCAGGGGTTGGAAAAATGGCCTATTCTCCCCTTTCCTGGTGGCACCAACTAGATTCACAGTATCTTGACTAAAAGCTCCTCTACAGGTGTTTAAGACAGAATATACAGCTCCAGTGCCTACAAGGAAATCTGATTTCTCATTCCAGAGTCATTAATCTCACAGCATGTTCGGCAAAGGTTCCACCAACTCCATCCCTTCTCAGACATTCCCGTTTCCAGTGTCATTTCCTCTACTTCAGCCCCTTTCTCTGCCTTTGTTGGGGCTCCCAATGATCACTGCTGCCAGCAGCGAGACTTGTAATTTTATTCTTTCATGCTTCCCCTTGAGTCTTTCCCTCTTTTTTCTCTCTCATCTCCATTATTGCAAACCTTGCATGTTACTTCTGTCAATTGCAGTATGGACATTCCTCACACTTTTTCAGTTAGTTCAGTACATTGACTGTGGTTCATCAGCACAGAAGCTACTAGTTATGTACACATTAAAGTTCTCACTTCCTGCTCCTGAGCTAGAAGTAAGCTGGTCTTCATTATCGCTACTATGCTGATTTCTCTTTTCTTCACTTTTTCTACTTTTTCTACTTTTTCTACTTTTTCTTCTTTTCTTTTCTTTCTTTTCTTTCTTTTCTTTTCTTTTCTTTTCTTTTCTTTTCTTTTCTTTTCTTTTCTTTTCTTTTCTTTTCTTTTCTTTTCTTTTCTTTTCTTTTCTTTTCTCTTTTTTTTTTCATTCTACGTTTACTGGATTCCCTTCTGGGACCAACATCGGCACGTCCTTAGTCTCCCCACCATCCTTAACACATTTCTTTTTACATTCTTTTCCAATTTCACAACTTTTACAACAGCCCCTTTTCTTTCTCTTTCCATTAACACTTGCTGCTAATACATACATTCCGTCAGTGTCATCCATCAACAACCTACATTCTTTTACAAGTTTCATGATCACATCTTAAACAGAAACAAATCAATATATGCAACTTCATCCTTTTTCCCTTCCTGCTGGCAAAACAACATTAATTGTAACACAGTATTATACGTTAAGGTCCCATTCTTCACCCACCAATGATTACAGTATTTAATTAATTGTTTTCTGGTAACAGGATCACTCCCTATATCTTTCTATTGGTTTAATATACGTCCCAGAGGTGACTTTAAATACCATCCTCAGACCCTTTATACAATTCACTGGACTCCATATTAGACAAAATAAAAAAGTTACATACACAAACACTACAACAGCTAACAAAACCAAACATACAAATTACAGTTACAAGCTTGACAGTAACCAATATTCTGGCTGACACCCCTCATGCAAGTGAGCCTTGGTTTATATGGCTGGCAACCCTCCTGCAGGCAAGCTTTGTTTCTTCAGCTGGCACTCCTCATGCAACCAAGGCTGGCTGGCACTCCGTGCAATCAAGCCTTTATTTTCCATCTGGACCCCTCACATCCCTTACAGCCTGATCCAGCAGGAAAGCATTTCCCAGGTATGTTTTTCAGTAATGCCTTAACAAATCCGAGGGATCTTGCTGTGAACTCACTGGACCATGGAATTGGAGGATCTCCCCAGAAAACATTCAGTGGCACCAAATTGTCACCAAATCAGGAATAAAACTCCTTAATGTTGGGTCTCACATTAAAGAGCAGGCTGGGGACATGAGGGAATCGTTTTACCTAACATGTCCACCATATGTTGCCTCAGGCAAAGCCTACATCACTGTGGTACTTATATATGCATTAAATTTCCTGAAACTAATTATTGTAACTATATAGTCATTATGTGTGCAGTTTGAGTCTCTGAGAGGCTTCCAAGGGGTGTTTGGCGCCCCTTAATGTTCAATAGCAGATCTTAGTTCTGATAGTTATGGTTCTTGTTTACTCATCTAGTTCTAACAAGTGTTCTAAAGTACATTCCAAGATAAAATGGCACAAACAATCCTTGCTGATTAAATTAGTAATGATCTTTCAAGAGGTCCTAGCATACTTTCCAGCATAAACTGTCCCATAATATTGTCGGATACAGAGATAAGGCTGACTACCTTGTTGTTCCCCAGCTCTTCATTTTTTTTCCTTTTTAAAAATGAGGAGTTTGTTTCCCCTTTGCCAGTCAGTGGGAACTTAACCAGACTGTCATGACTTCTCAAATATGATGGATAGTGGCTTAGACACTTCACTCGCAATTTCCCTTATGATGCATAACGCATCTCATCAGGTCCCATGGACTTGTCACCTTCAAGTCTCTTAGATGGTTTTGAACCTGATCTTCTCCAACAGTGGACTGTTCTGCATTCTCCCAGTCCCAACCTTTGCCTTGTGCATGTGGGCAGTGTGTCTGGAGCCCTTCCTGGTGAAGACTGAGGCAAAAAAGTCATTAAGTGTTGGGATTCAAGAGGACTTTCTGCGAGAGAATAGACATGTGAGCAATCTTGCATGAGAACAAGACTAATAAGAGCCTGAGCAAGAATGTGATAAGGACATAATGCTGAATTAGGGGGGAGAAACTCGATGAGACAAACAACCCCCAGAAGGGGTTGGGATGGAAGAGGAAGTTACACAAGGCAGGGAGCCTGGCAAGGCTGATGTGGCACTTTTTATCCAACCATAAGAAGTTTTGAAGTGCGGGCTAAGTTAACTGTCCAATCTTAAGGACTTGTGCTGCATGTTACTCACATGTGCGGGAGAACATTATAAAAGGGCTTTCTTAGTTGTAATAAATGGGCATTGTTTGATCACATTGGTCATGTGCTTGCTCAGCTCTCCCTCAAGTATGTCAGTGTTCTCCATGTCCCAGGTAAGCAGGGCTCCTGTTTCCTTCCACAGACAGTCAACTTTTTCCCTAGTCTTCCTTTTAACACCAACATACCTATGGAAGCTTTTCTTGTTGCCTTTGCAACATCCCGGGCAGACATAATTCTCTCATAATAATTGGAGGAGGTGATCCTTGAAACTTAATCAATTTTCTTGGGTCCCTCTTCCGTTCATGGCTTTATCTCAGGTTTCTCTGGCAAGCAGATGCCTGAAGAGACCAAAGTCTGCTCTCCTGTAGCCCAGGGCAGTGAGCTTGTTGTGCGTACTCCTTGCTGCCCTGAGGATCTTGCACTCAACCTCCTGGATTATTTCTATATTGCAGTACTGCCCTTCCAAGAGATAGAGTGGTGAAAGTCCCCCATGAGCACCAAACCTGTGAACATGAGGCTGCTCCTATCCATCTATAGAGGCCCTCATCTGCTCGTCGTCTTCCTGGTTGGGTGGCCGGTAGCAGACCCCACTATAATGTCTCCTGTCCCTGCCCTCCCTTTAATCCTGACCCATCAGCTCTTGGTCGGCTCCTCACCCATCCCCAGGCAGAGCTCCCTGCACTCAAGCTGTCACTGACATCGAGGGTGACACCCCCTCCTTGTCTCCCCTGCCTGTCCTTCCTAAAGAGCCTGTATCCCTCCTTCCAACACTACAGTCATAGGAGCCCTCCCAGCACATCTCCATCATACCAGTAACTGTGTGCATGTCTCTACCTCCTCTTGTTCATTGCCCACTCCAGTTGACAGCGAAGCCGAAGGTGGGCTGGCTCTTCTGGTTCATGCGGTGCTGGGACCCCTGCAGTGGGGACACCTGCAACTCGTCCATGGTGGCAGTCACGGCTGTGTGGTGGGAGCCGGCAGTCACCTTTTCCATTTACCGCTGAGACGGCCACGTAGGAGTCCGGGTCGTTGATCGAGCGCCTGGTCAGCATGTGCTGGAGCGGAGGGGACTCAGCACTGGTGCTGTGCCAGAGCCCTCCAGCCTGCCTGGGCAGTGGGACGTGTGCCCCGCGTGTCTAGGTCTGGCACGACCCCTCCACACGGCAGCTGGGACTGAGCCATGGGCACCAGCTGGGCCAGCACCTCTCCCTCCCTGCGCAGGGCAGTGCTGGGGGTGCTGGGTACCCCCATACCAGGGGGAAGTGACCAACACTACCCCAGGGACAGCATGGCCAGAGCTGGCAGCCCCCTTGGTCACGCATGCTGCACGCTGGCATGGCCTGGCATGACACAGCACGGCACAGCAAGAGCATGCAGCCCCTTGGGCACAAACAGCGTGTGCTGGGATGGCAGAGCACAGCATGGCATGGCGGAGTGACAGCAGGCAACCCCCTCAGCCATGGCCACTATGTCCCAGAGCAGCTCAGCACAGCACGGCCCGGCACGGCACAGTACAGCACAGCACAGGAGAGCATGGAACAGCATATGGCATGGTACAGAACAGCACAGCTCAGCACTGCACAATCAGACCGTGCATCTCT